GTTGGGCACACGGAGTGTACGCAAGTCAAGAACACTGGATACATGTCTTCCGTCTATTACAACATGATCGATCTGGCTTTGTGTTTTTCGATCAGGGGTCAGCCAAGTAGCTTGATGTATTTTATGTGCTGGTATCTAGTACTACTATACTTGTTACCCTATAATCCTGCAAATATCTTAATAATTTATCACTAATAATAGAGCATGCACTTAATATCTAATCGGATTGGACTAAGAGGCAAGAGTTCAATGTTAATCTGCTGTACACCTCCTCACGAGGAACATACAAATTTGCAAACTTAACACTACATTCTTAAAGGGAAATACTACAGTACTCTTGAACTCAGTCTAACATATTGGCCTAATATTTATAAAAAGCTTAGCTGGAGATAACATTTTAGGAGCACAGTCAGTAAAGGACTTCGCATTTAGAATAGCTAGAGAAAAGCTGTTGTGTCAAAATTGGGCCGTTGACCGCAAATTGTGAATGTTTGAAATATTGTTGAAAGATCCATATTAACATACAGAGCTAAAGAAGACAGTATATTCTCAGCCGAATTCCGCTGATGAATTTTTTGGAGAAGTATTTTCATTTCACGTCAGAAACACACTAGAGGGGTTTGAAATTCTTTAATTTTGCATGATGGCCTGCATGGCCGTCAATTATGAATAGTATTTAATGTACTTTCCATTCTAAATTTTTATGGATTGTTTGTAAGCCAAACTTTTACTTTATTTAAGTTTCGGTTTTATTTCAACAGTATACTTTAGTTTCTAGGAAATGGACAAGGAATCGCCGACAGATTTACAAAAATTCGTTTAATTATCATTTCTTGTAATATATATATATTTATATATATATATTTATGTGAGTAGCGCTTTAGCAATTTTCGACCGAACTCATTTTGCATATATTTACAATACTATCCAACCAATTCTTATTTTCATATTAGTAAAAATTAGTTTAAAAAAATTATATAAATACAAGTTTTCTTTCAAATAACAAAATAAAAAAATACAATATTTTTACAGTTAGTACATATATATATATATAATTGGCGCTTTCAAACCGCTGAAGCGATTTTCTGCCGAGCTCCTCCTCCAATTTGTGGTTTTGCGTCTTAATGTTTTTCCAACAAATAGAGTGGCCTACAGTTTATACTAAGCCGCATCCGAACTGCTGAGGATTTTTTTATGAGAAGCCTTATTTTATGTTAGAAATACACTCGGTGGGCTTGACATACCCTACCGAAGGGCGACCATCATTAGAAAATTTAGCTTAACTTTTTATTTAAATTAATTTTCTATAACTTTTAGATGTTGGTCGCACGGGGATTTAAGCCCGAGCCTTCCAAATGGTAGTACACAATGCTAACCACTCGGCTACCGCGGCTGCCAGTTAGTACATATGATTGATAATATTTTGCCTCTTTAATGAAAGCAATCAATATTTGACTAAGGGAGATATGTAGGTAACATATTAATATATCACACGTTTTAAAAACTTGTAGGACTTAAATTTTATCATGTTGATAAACACTTCATTAGATAAGTAGACATACCCTCTGACGTCTCGTCAGAATTGTTCCATGTTAAAGGAGTTATTTCGAAACAAAATGCTGACGTTAATGTTCAATTCTTAACAGATAATGTTAAGAAGATGTCGTTTATGTACAATCGTTAGCAGACAATGTTAAAAGTTTATATTTAAATGTGCTGTTAATATCTTAGGAAGTAGCACAAGAATAAAGTTAAGATTTGTGTATTAACAATTTTATTTCGTTTTGATAATATGGCGCCAAAACGAAACAAATACCTTCGTTATTTGTATTTTTTATATGAACCAAAGGAAATGGCATCGTTTCGTAAATTGAGCATGCCTATATGACATCATATATCAAACGTTTCCAAAACTCGAGTGAAGGGGAGAATACTATTATTAGACTGTCATCATATAATAGTACTCATAAATTTAACTTCGTTGAATATCGACATGTCGTTACACTGAACTTTTTCGTAAAAATCGTGCAGTTGGTTGAGTACTTCCATTTTCTATTTTTTGTGCATGATATTTATTTTCTTTAGCTGGCAGCTTAACTTAATTTATAAAAAGTCAGTAATGGGAGTACAATTGATTTAATGAATTACTCTTACTCGTAGACACAAATGACAACCTTTGAATACTTGGTTTTTATTTGAATATCAATGCAATTTTTTTTTAATATTAATATTCACATACATACATAGTCCAATTACATCAACACTTACAACTGAACAGAAATGCATAACCTATATATAGCTCAATGTTATTGTATATGTATATGTAGGGAAATAAAGAGTAAAAAGTAAGTTTGTCTACATATAAATATTTTATAAATACTTTTTCAAAGTGAAATGTTCTTCTTTCAATTACATAAAATACATACTATTATTGCAATCACATGTTGTGCAAACACTTATACAATAATTACGATTTTGACGATTGCCATATTCATTATAGTCTAGAGTTTAACTTTATATTCCGTAGAACTGTGGATTATTAATGCTTGTTAATGTAATTATGAATGTGTGTTCAATATCTGAATTGCTAATAATTGATGTGAGCATACAATATATGTTATATGTATGTATATTATTTATTTATTTATTATTTGTTCCTCTACAATTTTCTTCGTACTAACATACCTTCATATATGCAAATATATATGTACATTGGTAAGTATGTGAGACATGTAAGTACTTTATACGTTACGTGGTGATTAAAGTTATTGCTTGTATATATTTTTAAATTCGATAACGAGAGGTTATATATCTACGTATGTTGGATCGTATGTATGTATATTGTATTCATTTTTTATACAGAGATTCACTATATTCGATCAATTTTCAATAAACATCCAAAGCTTGGGAAATTATAAAGGTGTAGATTAAAAATAAATTTATTTAGTTCTATTACTTACCGATAGTATTTTACTCTGAGAACATTGGTTAATTAATATTAATATTGATTCTACCGTTTATAGACTTCCAATGTGGCATACCAAGTATGCGAAATGTATCTCGGATTTCAGGAACAAAAACTAAAAATTCAAAATCAGTAAAATGACCAATTTCGAATCCGAAGTAAAAGATAAATGAAAATTTAATTTTGAATTAATTTATTATTTATATTTATTATTATTTTTCACAATAACGTCCGCTTAGAAAAAACATAGAGGGTAAAAGTATCTATATACTATTGTATTATATCATATAGAGGAGCAACTAAATCATTTTAACTACTAAATTCACTAAATTTGTCGTCATTTATTACAAAGGTTAATTTAGTATTAACATAAATATAAGTAAATTTGCATCGAATTTAAAACTTTTAACGAAAGATTTTACAATAGCTATAGATGAAACTACTTTTCGATTCTCAACAATTTCAACTTATTCCATTTTTTACGAATTTCGCATTTATTTCGTAAATTCATAACTAAACGAGTAAAAGCAAGCAACGGTAACAAAAAATAAAAAAACAGAAAAACAGAAAAACAAAAATCTAATTTTACATTCAGTTTTTCTTTAAATCATTTTAATTAAACCAACAAAAGTGTTTATGCGCATGAACAGCGCCCAGCGATTTATATTGCTAAGTATGTATGTAGACTTGCTTGAAATTGAAATATGTTAAACCTTTAGTATAGGTATATTATATTCTCTTCAATTTACATATAAGCCATATTATCTTAATTACGTTTTGGTAGTTAGAACTTTAGGTAGGTAGTTATGTAGATAGTTATTAGCACATTTATAGTTATATAATGGACTTGCACACATAAAACTTACATAATACTAGTTCCACATAAAATTTCGTTATTTTACATTTTTTCAATATCAAGTTTTTTTCCAACATTCCTTGCCGTTGAAAAGCATTTGCATGTGCATGTTGAACAGTTAAGGGAATCTGTACCAATTATTTCTTCACATACGTATAAGAATGTAGTAAAAAATCCAAATACTATACTTGAATATAAAATAAACGCCTTTTGAAAAAAAAAGTTCGCCAGTTTATTTATTCAAACGTAGCACATACAAATGTTTTTTTTTTATTTGCTTTCTTTAAGTCCTGCGCGCTGTATTTCGCAAATCAGCGATAGGCGCACAACCCCATTAGCACGGTAATATTGCATGAATCAAAATCAACCCAACGCTAAGTTTCCTGATTTTCATTTCAAATAAATACCCCAACATTCTCCAAATATTATGATCATTATATTTTTGTTGTTTTTGTTTTTTTTTTTTGTTTTTTGTTTAATTTTTGGCTTTCTGTTTTTTTTTTTTTTTTTATATTACATAGCAATGTATTTACAGGAACTTACTCAAATACAAAATACAAGTACCACAAATATTACACCAAGTAATAACACAGCAGCACATTGTGACACACATATAATACAATGCAAATACAAATACGATTAGAAATACGATACAGATTTTGTGGGCATCGGAATAATTTCTATATCGATTCAAGTTGTACCACACTTTACGAGTAGATAATGCGTTGGACATTTGAACAGGCTCGCATAATATGGTAAGTAATTTGCTTATGCTCGGGTGTATATTTATTTAAAAAGTGAATTTCTGCACATGTGCAAATATTATTTTGTTTGTTATTTTTCTTTTCATGTGCGCATTTGAAGCCTAAAACTACGAGATTACACAACTTTCATAGTTCTTTTCTACTTTACTTTTTAAGCTATTTTATTTTTAAGTAGGAGGTTTTTGCCTTTATTAGTAAGTAAAACCATGATTCATTTCAAATTATATTTCAATGTTCTTAATAATTATGTATTTTTAATAATATTTTCGTTACACTTAATTTATTATTATTATTTTTTTTTAGATTCTCTTGAGACTTTGATAAAGAATGTATACATACATTTATTATTATTATTATTTATGAAACAACTACTTTTCTATATTTTCAAATTAATTTTAAATTACTTAAATTACTATTAATATAATTTATATTTAAATATGTATTTTTAAGATATTTATATGTAATATTTTATGCTTAATATTCTATCTGAAATATTCCCTCGACCTCAGCAGTGCCATAAGTGTGTCTTTAAAACCACATATATATAGACTTTAACGCAGAATATCGGAATTCAGTTCTTTATAATTTTTCTAATCACTTTCCAGATTTATAACTAATATGTTAAAAAAGTAGCCAAACCCAATATTATATGAAATGTCAGCTTAGTTGTAGAATTCTTAAATTGTGTATATCAAACAAACCTTTTTAATTTTATTTTAAAACGATTAACATTGAAAAGCTAGTAACAAATTGCAACTCCCCGAATGAATTGAACTGGGAAAATAATTTGAGTACACAAAAATACATTCAGTCAATATGTACGCCGCAAAGGTAGTATATTTTAAAAATATCACGTGGAACAGAATATAGGGTAAATTAAAAATAAATACGCTAAGATTACATAATCAACAGAATTTGAAGAGTTTGTAAAATAGTTTTGAAACATTTCTGTTTTCAGAAAAACATAACCCATAAAAGATTGTTACAAACACACTAATAAATAAATTAATAATATACAAAAATCTGTCGGTTTTCTTTTTTGTTTTTTGTTTTTGAAAAATTGCAAACATAAAAATTTAACAACATGGATTTAGGTGGTGGCTATGAATTGCAGTCACTGGTTGGCTGTTTCTGGTTTTACACTTGCAAAGCTACTGAAATTCCGTTTGCATTTCTGTCTTTATATTCGCCAAATGCTAGTAGGTGGGGAAGCCCATAGCGCTGGCACTGCTGTTGTCCAAAGGTCACTGGTGCATTTTAGTTGTGTGATGCCCCATGCTCAGGCCCAAATTCATATGATGAGTATTGTGGTGCTGTTGTGCCGCCTGCGCATGATTATGATTACTGTTCGCGCTGTTGTTGTTACTCTGCTGGGATGCTTGACGCTGCGAATTCTTTTTATTTTTCATACGACGATTCTGAAACCAAATTTTTACCTAAAAATGCAATTCAAAAAAAAAATTTATTTAGCCAAACATTATATTCAAATTCGACATCGATTTATCACCTGTCGCTCGGTAAGATTTAAATTTCTAGCCAGCTCCCAGCGTTTTTGTTTGGAAACATATGCGTTATAAAGAAACTCTTTTTCCAATTCGAGAGTCTGAAATTTGGAGTAAGGTTTGCGTTTTTTTCGCACAGAAACCTGGCCGGTCCATTCGTGTAGCGCATTGGTAGGAGTACAAGGCCCAACTGTGCCAACGGGAATACCAGCAGTGCCGCCTGAAAATAAATTCACAAGAAAATTATGATATAGTTTTCTAACAACATTTAATTTAGAGTTTTTGAAATTTTACGTTATACAATAGGACAGTAAACCACAAAAGCATGCAAGTTCAAAATTTTAGTCACTCAGTCTAATGTTTTTGTTTTAATTTCTGGAGTACTTAAGCAAAGTAGTGAATTGTCATGCATGTGTTTTATTATGTTCAACCAAATTTAAACTTGAGTATATACAAAATGAATTTTATGTTTAGAAAAGTTGTAACATAAGAATGGTCTGGGCCAATTATAAGTTCGTCGGCGGCCGCGGTAGCAATTCAGAAGGCTCGGATTCAAATCCAGGTGTCGTACCAACATCCAAAAATTTAAAGAAAATTAATTTATATAAAAAATTAGGCCCCTCGCCCCTCCGCAGGGACTGTCAACCCTTCCGAGTGTATTTCTTACATGAAAAAAGGCTCCTCGGCGTAGCTAAAAAAGAGCTTGCTGAGGGCACGAAAATGTAAGATGGCAAGTTTTGCGTTGATAACACTCAGTAAATATTTTTGATAAAACTAAATTAAATTGGATGGTTCAAATGGAAATAAATTTTGCAGGTAACACTTAAGACCATCCAGACATCATGACACGGTGACACCAGTAGTTCAATGTATTTGCCAACTTCTTAATAATCATGAAGGGCACATGATTTGTTGGTTTAATTCAAGGGCAAATTGATTGATGTACAAATAACTATTTCAAATAATGAAGGAAGAACAGAGATATCGGTTTTTGTGTTTAAAAAAAATATTAACTACATTAATTTTGCATATATTCCAATTTAAAATATTGCTGAGTACGCATAAAGCATTATTATTTCATTTATGAACAAAATAATGTTTTCATTTTCTAAATAAATTTTCCTATGCTATTAAGCGTTGCTGATTTTTTATAAATAATTTATAAATACAACTATATAGCTGTCTCAATTATAAATTTGCTTATATGAAACTGCTAAAGTTAAATACATAGGAAATTTTATAATACTAACCTGAGCTTGAATAAGCTTCACTTGGATAGCCCCGCAGACCGCTAGGTGAAGAATAAGTTGGTGTTTCATAACTTGACTGTGAAGCGCCTTCAACAGATTGACGGGCAGCAGCCGCTGCAGCATGCCGTTCATCATTAGCACTCATATAAGCTGCTGCTGTGGGCGTAGGTTGTTCTCGGTAATTCCAATATGGCTGTAAAGAAACGATAAATATCAAACAAGTTGTACGTAATTTCATTGAAAGTATTCAAAGATGAGAGTAAAAGGGCGTTTAAGTTCATTCGTTTATATCTCAAAATAATTTCCTTTTCTTAAGAATTTTTAAAAATCTTTACACACAAAAAAAGTGAAATTAAAAATCTAAGTTTTGGAGAGTTTGTGTGACTAATCCACTTTTGTTGTTATAATTAATAATGTTTTATTTAAGAAAATTACTGGGCAACTCGGATTAATATATTTAAGTTAGCTGTGATCTTTTGAACCCGACTCGATAGAAGAAAATACTTTAACTCCCTTAATTTGATTTTCGTTTCCTTAATGTTACTTTATTTTAATTTTTCATGAACACATTCATAACACAACAGTTGTTATGAGTGGCTCAAGCTAGATGTTGCTAAAGAGCTTTAACCTGAAACCGGTCTTTATGGTCTTTATTTATTTTATAGTTGCTTTCGGCAAATAAGAATTTTTTCAATTATTAAAAATATTATATTAATTTTAATATCACTTACCTGATATTGTGTTTCAGGATACCCATAAAAAACTGGCTTACGCTCTCGATCGAGAAAATACTGCGAAGCATGGTATTGAGCAGAGCTAAAGCCATCCCCATCATAAGCCCATGGATGAGGATGTCGCTTAACGGCAGCAGTTGCATCAGCTTCAAAGCCAGGCCGAATCGCAGGAATATGCAGAGGTGCTAACAAGGACATATCTGAAAATATTAAAAATAATAAATATGTAATTATTGTAAAAATGAATTAATTAAAGTAATACAACTGTTTCAACGAGCTAAAAAAATGTGCCAGAAATTAAAATTTAATAAATACATAAATAACAGTTCCTCTATATAAATATACAGTATATATAAAAGGGTTTTCAATAATAGCTGTTTTTTTGATATTCAAAGAAAGTTTTCTCTTAAAAGATCAATGCTTTCGTTATTTATGTGGCATGTAGCGCAGTCATGTTGAAAACAAATTTTGTTCAGAACAATACCATCCGATCCCGATCCTAAGATAACATTAATCATCTCTCGACAGCGCAATCCATTCACCATAACTGTTGCTCCAGCAGAGGTTACACATCGAGGTTGGAGAAGCAAGAAATTCTGCATTTTCCGAGCTCCAGATACGACAGTTTTGCTTATTTACGTAGCCATTGAGGCGGAAATGGGTCTCATTTGTCTAGATGATTTTTCGATGGAATTTCTATAGTCCTACAATTTCGTTTTTCTCAGCGAGAAAAATTAACCAACGACTTAAAGCAAAATCGGTCTTACTTTTAGTATTACAACTGAATTTTGTATTTTCCACTTTTGATTACTACGGTTTGCTACATTTACATTATAATTACATTATATTCTCCTATTACAATAAAATGATGTCAAGCAGAATGATGTTGGGAAATGTCGGGAGGTCATTAGCCAAAACTATAGTACTAAAGCTTTAGTCGAGTAAGCAGTGTCTACGCCAGTAAAAAAAAAAATATAAAAATAAAAACAGTACTAAAGAGAGAAGAAAATTCTTAAAGTGATCACCCTTCGATATACATTACTGGCACCATCGTCGATTGTATCTTACGAAAAGACTAGTTTCAATAAGAATTTTTCCAATTAGTAAAATTTAATAAAAGATGGCATTATAACTCTGGTCCAATATTTGTAACTACATATACAAATTAATTAAGAATTATATCCAGATCACAAGGATCGATCAAGAGTGATCTGTCCAATTTATGTTCATCTGCAAGTTATTATGGGTGTCTTAAAATTAAAAAAAGCACAATTTCGAATTTATTATCCCTGGATGTGTTGCATATAATTTATTATACTTTACTGCTTGAAGTCTGCATCCTTTCACATAACCTTTTATTGTATTACAATTCAGTTTATATTAGTATTATTATTATTAGTTGAATAAAAAAAATATATAACTAAATAATATTAAATTAATGTAAACTTCTATTAAACTCAAATATTTTAGAGATCTCTGACTGCAATTCGAAATCTTTACTAACATATTATTATCCTTGGTAGCCGCGGTATCTGAGTGGTTAGAAATGCTCGGATTCAAATCCCCGTGCCACCAAAACAGAAAAGATAAAGAAAATTTATATAAATAAAAAATTAATTCCGGACGCCCCTCGGCAGGGAATGTCTACCCAAACGAGGATATTTCTGACAGGAAATAAAAGATCTTCGTAAAAAAAAATCGGCCTTTCGGAGGCGGCTTAGTATAAACTATAGGTCCCTCTATTTATTGGAAAAACATCAAGGCGCAAAACCACAAATTGTATGAGGAGCTCGGCGGTGGTTACAAAGCGCCAATTATATATATATATATCCTTATTTTTTGAAAACTAGGCTAGTTGCCTAATTAAGTCCTATACTGCACATGATTTCTTTTTAATTCCCGTGAAATCCCGTATTATTAAGGAATAACAGTTACCGCACTGTTCATGCATCTGAAGAAGATATCTGAATAAATAGTATACTCCATACTGTGATCCTCGCATTTGAGACTATGGGCTCTACACCCAACAATTAGAACGTCTTGTGAAAACCCTCATCGATGTATGAGCATGGTCGTGAATGGTTATAAAAGCCGACCTGTGACGTGCCTTAGGCAACTCTAATCCTTTTTGCTTCCACTTTCGACGAATTCTCAAAAAAGTTTCGGTCGAAGTGAGTTTACTTTTATAATGTTTTTAATTAAAAACACATGCATATTTCGCGATTTCAACTGAGTATCTACGTATTTTTAGGAAAATGCAACGCTGTCAACCGCTGAAGCGATTTTCCGCCGAGCTTCTCCCCCAATTTGTGGTTTTACGTCTATATGTGTTCAATAAATGGAGGGACCTATAGTTTATACTAAGCCGCCTCCGAAAGGCCGATGGTTTTTTTTAAGAGAAACTTTTATTTTAAGTCTGAAATACACTAGAAGAGGTTGACAATTCCTGCCGAAGGGCGACCGCAATTAGAAAATTTAGCCTGATTTTTTACTTAAATTAATTTTGTATAACTTTTGGATATTGGTCGCACTTTTATTAAATTTCTCGGAATTCAGGAATTACTCAACAAGTTAAAACGCATTTACATTGACGACAGACGATATTTAGTTTTGTCCTCGTTCACTTCCAGACCCATTTGCTTGACCTCTTTGTTTAATCTGGGTAAAGCACAACAAACTGCGGCATTCTAGCTCTGCAGGTAGTCCTATCTTTTCCATAAAAAGATTGAACAAATTGCGCTCTAATGTATCACCCTGTCTCAAACCTTCTTTGGTTCTGGCGGAACTTTTGATGTCCCTCAGTGAATAGCAGACTCAGACCTAGCGGAATAGAGGTTGGTCTTGCCCGTGCTCTCGCAGGCAGTTTTAAAACCGAATATAATGTGTGAGCAGTGTCAATCCAATTCTTACCGGTATTTGATCATGGTATGTATCTGACCAATTGTAGGTGCCGCTGCTGGGTTTTAGTTTTTCTTTTCTTTTCCTGACCGTATCGTGGAGGAACTTATTCCGCGGAAGCGTGCGCAGACTTTGAGCCTCCCCTTTTTATGGATTGGACAGACCCCGCTGTACTATGTAATAATCACAGACTCAGTATGCTCTGGGCATTAATCAACAGATTGAATTTTTAGTTCTTACATGAATATACCCTGTTTTTGAAACTTTCTGTAAATCTTCGCATTTTCCGATAAAATTTTCGAGAGCTTCTCAAGCTCGTCATAATCCCACCTCCAGCTACTCTCTTTTCCATCTACGAAAGCGTCTTCTTTTCCTCATTAGCTCTTGGTATCTATCTCTCTCCGCCCGTGTCGTGGTCGTTTCGCAAAATTGTGAAGTTGACAAACTGCTTTCACTCAGTTCAGCATTCCTCATTATCGAAACCAATTGTGTCTGAAACGGCGGTGCGAAGAAATGCCGTTCCACAGTTGTCTTATATCGAGTTATTGATTTGTCCAAGTCGTGTCTAAAACCAGCTGAGCAAATTTCGACCCTTGTAAAGTCAATCAGTTTCAGCTCGTTTGGGGACATTTCACAATGGATTTTGAATTTTCCGAATTTTGCGCCGCAGATATTTTTTTTGTCTGCTCTCTTCTTCACAAGAACGCTGTAGTAAATTTCACTCCGCCCTCCTTCCGTACCTATACCAGCAGCGGCACCTCCTCATTTGTGGGACTGAATATTCCAGGTAAATTCCCTCAAATCATGAATTTTAAATCGTTTTCTTAATTTTATCTTTAGTTTTATCTTTAATTGGAGCAGATTATTTTTGAATAAAATAAATTAATTACAAAAAATTTTAGCTGCTACTTAAGTTAACAAAAACAAAAAGGTTTGAAAATCATGATTTACTAGATTTTTTTTTAGTTCTCTGCCATACTTCACTGAAGAATGTTTTTGAAATCCTTAATTTTAGGTCCTAATAAATGGTTAAATAATCTGAAGCCTGTATATTGAAGATATAAAAAAATTTCAAAAATTAATCTAACTGCTGAGTCCCATTAGAAACTTCTACAAATTTTTAAAGAGAATAAAATTTGTCAAAATTGTGCCTGAGATGACAATTTTCAGCAGAGGGAAGTCGTAATATTTGTGTAGAAATCTCCCTTGATTCTTTCTGACAAAAGAAATATCAGACGGAGGGCTTGACATTCACTGCCGAAGGGAAATTAGTAAAAACAAATATTTATAATTTTGAATATAGGTCGACACAGGACTAAAGCCCCGGTCTTAAGAATTGCAAGACGCAACCTTTCAGGGATTGTGATCGAAATCGTATGAAATTTTACAAAAAATAGATCTTTATATGAATTTTGGAGAAATCCGCAAATAAATATATATATATATATTTATATTTTGATATTCAGAAGCTCAGATCGCCGGGATCTGGTTTTCTAGGTTCAAAATCTTTATAACTTCTGACGATTGACCCGGGTAGGGCTATATAGAACTATGCTCGTATGTATATTGCGAATGCAACTACAAGTTTCTTTTTTGATTACAGAACAAATCAAACTTGTGTCTTTACCAAAATGTTTCCAATTATCACCGAAGTGTTTGTATTAACTTACCTGGAGGTTGGGAGCTAACACTGGAGGGAGAAACACTCGCCGTTGACGGCGCAACGATCTGAGTTTGGCCGGACGCCACTGCTGTATTTTGTTGTTGCTGCTGCTGGAGGCTTGTTGGCGCACAAGGAGGCACACTATTTGTTTGCTGTCGCTGCTGTTGCTGTTGTTGTTGTTGTTGTTGGTGGTGGGGTGAAGTGAGATGTTGTTGTACTTGTGATTGTACGCCCGCTGATGTTTGGGAGGGGCTAAGTCCACCTGCTGGTGTAGTTGTGAGCTGCTGTTGTTGTTGCTGCTGTTGTTGTTGCTGTTGCTGTTGCTGCTGAGGGGGCAGGTGAAGTGGTTGTGACTGTTGTTGTTGCTGCTGTTGCTGTTGTTGCTGCTGCTGCTGCTGCTGCTGTTGTTGTTGTTGTTGTTGCACAGAGACAATTGGCACTGGAGGGGGTTCTTCATATATAACCGCATGTGTGGGCGTGGAATGTGACGTTGGTGTCGTTTGTTGTTGTTGTTGTTGTGGAAGCACAGCCGCCGTCGGTAAGAGTGAGGTTGAATTCGTCGACACAGTCGGTATGGTATGTTGAAGTTGATGATGATGATGTTGGAGGTGCGGATGATGATGGTGGTGATGATGATGCGGGTGGTGATGCAATTGATTGATAGTATTGGCGGCGGGTTGTTGATTGATGATCGCAGCAGCGGAGACGGTGGCAGAAGCGGTAGCGGTTGGATGTGGAGCGTGATGATGTGGCCCCCACCAAGCCCCGGCAGCGGCGTGCGACCCGACTGCCGAGACATCGTGGGGGTCGTAGAGAGCGCACGCCAGCGGGATAGTTGGGGTTTGGGGGAGGGGTGGAATAATTACGGTTATTTTGAACGCGATTCAATTAAAGCAGTGCCGTATATTTTTTGTAAGCAAAACCGAAATAAATGTTCGATAATCACAGCGCGAGCGCGATGCGATCCGAAATGTAAAATTCAGTTCGAACAGTCGAAACACCGCAATACACAACAGTTTCAATTAATGTGAATATAAAATTAGCCACATTCAATTTACGAATAGTTTCGTGATCAGTTTAAATAAATTGAATGTGTATTTTTCCATACGTAATGATTTCAAAACCCGGCAACCGTAGTCAAAGAGCACAAAACACACAATGTGAGTAATTGAGTATGTAGTTATTTGTTACAACAGAGAGCGAGAGTACGAGTTTAATTTTTTTCGCCACAAACACAAACACCGATTTGAACGAAGAGAGCCACACAAGAGCATAGAGTAATGATGGTGGTGGAATTATTCAGCAGCAGTACGAGTGAGTGATTCGTGTGGGCGAACGGGTGGGCACATATGTATGTCAAAAACCATTCACCGAGTTAAAATCGTTTCATTTTTATAATATTTAAAACATTTATTTTATTATAACAGTATTTTTATGCAAAAAGCATAATTTTTATTTGAAGGTGATTTTTTGATTTTGATTTTGAAATAGTCACAAAATTCAATTTAAACAGTTTTTTTTTATAATATTATTATTTATAGTTTTAATTTTTTTTGTTTTTTTTTGTATTAGTTTCGGTCGATTTCCAGTATTATTTTTAGAATAATGGAACAATTTGTATTCAAATTAATTTTTATGATTTGTTTTCATTTTATTATTTACCATTTAAATCAAAAATAGTTAACAAGCATCAGTTTTGACGTCATTTTATTATCGTTTGCATTCGTTGATGTTATTGTTGTTCAAATATTTTTGTTGGAGTAAAATTTTTTATTGGGGGTATTCCGGTGTGAGGCCGATAAAATGACAAATCAACAAACGTAGTACATATAGCGGTGTTTATGGTTTACGATAATGAAGAGGTAAAATTACGAGTTGGTGCGTGATTTTGTATATTATTTGTTATAATTTGAAATTATTTATTTGCATATACATATGCCACATATATTTGTTTGTTATAGGTTAATGTTATTTGCAGAACATACGTTCAAGCGGCATTTGCGACCGTATGAGTTTTTTGTAGCCGGCGTCGATAATAAAAATTTATTTTACGATCAAAACAAACACAAAATTTTAATTGTTTTTTATTTTTATGAATTTTCGCAGATTCCAGATTGATGGTAGTTTGTTTGTGTTTTTCGTTGTTGTTGTTGTTGTTGTTGTTTTTAATGTAGAGCGCGTAAGTTGTTGTTGTTGTTGTTGTTGTTATATAATATTCAAGTTGGATTTAATTGTGGGTGGCAAGTCAATGCATCCATATAAAAGAAAGCGTTTTATTTAGTTTCTTGAATATTCAATGAATAACTTATCAACAATGTGCGCTTAAGTTTTTTAGAAATTAAAAAATGTATTATTTTACAATTTATAGAGTTTTGTGTGTACCAAAAATACCGAATATTCGAACACTTTTCATTCCCATTTACGATGTTCACGTTTTTTATAAAACCATTTATTTACATAGTGAAGAATGAAAAGCTGAATGATTTCAACACAGCTTTGTTTGTTTGTTTCATTTTTTATTTCTAATTTTATTCTTTGAAGAGCAGTAGGACAAGTGTACGTTATAGACTTGAGTCCACGTGTCTTATTATTATAGTATCGATTAAGCGTAACGCGCCCTCAATTTTCCAATTGTTGTTTTTTTTTTATAGAATTTCAACAATATTTTAAGTTACGAACAAGCTGTTCTTATGTTTCGTTGCACACCACAAATACTACGTTAAGCGTATTTTTCGTACCGTGCGATGCGGAGTACAAATCTACACTGAAAACAGAGATTCTTTTGTCAACACACGCAACACACAATTGAATAGCAATGACTGCCTACAGCGACATTCCGCCGCGCAGCACCGCGCCACTTCTCATCTATATCGCTTCAATACGATGTGCGTCAGACCACCGCTCACAAGCATTTTTTGAAACAGCGCCAGCACGGGCACAACGACACAATACTGTAATTGCGGCGCATTCGAGGTGCGAACAAACGTGCACGGCAGCAATAGCAAGCTAACCAAGCAATTCATTTCCACTGGCGTGAGCGAGCTCCCAACAAACTACACTATACGTATGCAAAGCAAACAGTGTACCCAACATTCATGGCTTTAAGTGTGTGGGTTCTTATTTGAAGTCATACGTATCCATACACAAGACACGTACAAGGGAGCACACCATATACAGGACGCACTCTCACCCATACACACATACTAAGTCAAGTAACGCGTGGATCCTCGCCATACGAGCGCACTTGTCTTTAGAGCGGCATTACTCCTCACCCCCATATCATTTAATTCGATTTTTTGTTATAAAGAAGATACACAAAAGAGTGTAGAACAGAAGAGAGTAACGTTTGTAAGGACAAGTGTTGCAAATAATTCACTCCATAGTGGTGCAAGAATATGAAAGGTTTAATAGAAATCAGGCAAATGCCTGTTACGATGAGCATATCCGCCCCTAATATTGTACTTGGCTCAGCACTGCGCAGCTCTGTATTGCTGGCGCTGTGCCTGTGCTTTTACTGTGTCTCACACATATTTCGTATACGTATACGCTCATGTACATATACGGAATAATGTATTTGTGTTAGACTCAAATTCTTCTCCACTTGATGGCCCCAATTTCGATACAGCCCCCATATTCACTTAAAGTTCATACGGCAACCTACTCTCATGTGCGTGTATTTGCTCTCGACTACCAAGAGAAATGCTTCGTACACTTCTCTTCTTGCTTCACTTATGCAAGATTTTCAAAAATGTCGTTATTTCTCGGTCATTGCTAGTTTGGAAAAATGTATTATCTAAGAAAAAATATTCTTTGGAATCTTAACAATGGGAATAAATGCATTTACAAAATTTATTTTAAAAATCTCTTGAGCTCAGTTGCTTTGTGTGTATACATGTGTAGTTGTATTTACGTATAAGCACATGCAATTGTTTGGTCGCCAAATGAAGTTCATATCTCTTAGCTTTCTTTCGAGTTCATTTATATGGAAGCACAATAGCACTGAGACACACGTACATATGTATGTATGTATGTGCGAGTGTAGACACATGTGAAAGCCGCATGCGCTTTATCCGTTCGACAACTGAAAATCTCCTTGTGGAGAGCAAGTTTACAGAGAATGTGAAGTCATTGTGAGTGCATGTTGTTATTGTTGAGTCATGTGTCGACTGCAAGGTTATGGGCTCAATTGTACAAAGGGCCCCATCTATATCTAAACATTTGCAGTCTGTACTCAATCCAACTAGCCCTGATTTTCGTTTAAATGTAAATTTTACTCAGACTGGTATCCCTCATATAACCTAATGGAATAAACCAATATATTGTATATTTTACTTCATATCTATACACACATGTTCATAATTATCAAATATTATATACTGTACTTGTATGTTGTATGTACACAAGTCGTATATGCTGTCTTATACATATGTTTGTAGGAACTTACTTACAGACATACTATGTACATCGGCACACGTATGTATATGTAATACACATGCAAGAAACTGGAAGAAAAGCGTGCAAAGAAAACTTATCGATTTTTATAACATTCATGATTTTTAGTCAGAAGTTGAAAATCATTTTTTATTATTTTATTGTAGAGTGTACATACATATGTATGGACATGAACAGATATTGCTTACTTAATGCACTTTTAGTAAATTTTTCAGAAGTTTGTTATTAATTGAAAAATAAGCTCCAAATATACATGACAATTTTAATAAATTCAAATAATAATTAGCTTAAGTTGAGAAATATCTACATCCAACATTAAACAACCAAACATAGAAAAAACCATTTTCTCAATTTCAAAGCATTTTTGGTATCACTATGACAAAGGGGATAAACTTAATTTCATCCCGCTGCTACTATCTGCAATCTTTTTATGAGTTGCTCCACGGGAGCTAATTATTTTATTTGGTTGTAATAGTTTTATTTATAAAGAAACACAAAAATCGAAGTAACTTACTAACTTTCTGGCTAGAATCTGTAAAAGACCGTGTCTTTAAAATTTCGACAAAAAGCGAAGATAGTTACATCGCATGCATAGAGTAATAATATCTCACATTTAGGACCTACGTAGGTCTTGAAACTTCAAAAAATTAATTTTTCGTACAAAAGTACAAGTCAGGAATATTTTTCCCAAGTTTCAAGTCGATCGAGACGGAACTGTAGAAATTAGAGAGTGTATAACCCACTGTCTTTGTCATGGCTTGACCGATGATAAAACATTAAACGCATTTTCTTAAAATCACTTTTTCAACGACTATTGAAGCGATCGAATTTAAATTCTCCACACTTATTTTAAGCAAATTTAAGTAGTCCCTGAACGAAGGATTTATTTTGTCTTTGATTCCAACTCATTTTTCAAGCCTAATTTTATTCAAGAAAAGGCAATTTTTAAATTTTTTAATTTTCCTCCGTTCAGGGACAAGTAAAATTCACTTGCTTTAAGAAAAAATTTGGATTTTTTATATCAGATAAAAATTTAAAAAGTTAGCATGACTACCGCGAAAGCGCTTTCTTGTGGACGGTCTACTTCACGACACTGCCAACGCCTTAAGTTATAATATTTTTCATTCAAATTTTCATCAAATGTTGTCCACATATTGTACTTTTTTATACAAACAAAATAAAGTATATATAATTATAAAAAATTAGAGGAAATAAGATTTTTTGGCTTTCAAGACTTATGTAACCCCTAAATCTAATATGCAAAAGTCTTTTGGACTTCGTTAAAGATAACTACTCATCAAATGAATTTATCCCAATTATTATTTACTCAAATTAAAAACGTTAATCTTGCCTACAAAATACAATTACCAGAATGCTTCGCGTTTGTTACATGATATTTTTGTAGGAATATTTTTCTAGGAATCTCGATAAG